CGATTAGTACCAACTGAGCATTTTGTCAATGCTACAGCCTACTGAGGTATTGTTGCTGACCTCCATGTCTTTATGACCACAATGTACCCATCTTCGGATGGCAACTTCCAGCAGGATAACGGGCCCTGCCTTAAAGCGTGAATCATCATGACAATGAACATGACAATAAGTTCACTGTACTCAACTGGCCTCCACAGTCACCAGATCTCAATCCAATAGAGCACCTTTGGGATGTGGTGGACCGGAAGATTCAAATCATGGATGTGCAGCAGACAAATGTGTTGCAACTGCGTGATGCTATCATGTCAATATGGACAAAAATTGTGAAGGAATATTTCCAGTACCTTGTTGAGTCTATGCCACGAAGGATTGAGGCAGTTCTGAAGCCAAAATAAGAGTCCAAGCCGGTACTAGTAGGGTAAACCTAATAAAATGCCGGGTAACTATATATATATATATATATATATATAGAGAGAGAGAGAGAGAGAGAGAGAGAGAGAGAGAGAGAGAGAGAGGGAGAGAGAGAGAGAGAGAGAGAGAGGTAACACTTTACAATAAGGTTTATTAGTTAATGCATTTAATAACATGAACTAATCATGAACAACACTTGTACAGCATTTATTAATCATAATTGAACATTTACTAATACATTATTAACATCCAATTTTATGCATGTTAACATTAGTTAATGCACCATGAGTTAACATGAACTCACAATGAACAACTGTATTTTCATTAACTAACGTTAACTAACATGAATAATAAATGAATTGTTCATTGTTTGTTCATGTTAGTAAGTGCATTAAGTAACATTAGCTAATGAACCTTATTGTAAAGTGTGACCTTTTGTTTTTATTTTACTTCTGGGGATGTACTACGCTCTACATGTCTACATATGGTGTAGATCTAACAGTCGGATTTTCCCACAGAGAGCACAGACTGACCCATTAACTTCAGCAGCTCTCCTCCAACAATGCACTTGTATGACCGCTTCATTTCTCACAGTGTTAGCTCTTGTAGACAATCACTTCCAAGAAAGTTTGGAAACCGCTGGCATTTGTACGGAGGAGAGGCCTGTTTTTGCGTCACGTTGCTTTCATTTGTCCTTCAGCAGCCAAAAAAAATGATTAAACCGCTGAGGGGGTTTTGCTTTTGGCTCAACAACTACTATGGCACACTAAATTGGCTAGACACCAATGCTGAACAAGTGCAATCTGTACAGTCTAATGAATTATTATAAATACGACAAAGAAAATAAAGTGGAGAGCAATAACTCTGTTGGACTTCACCCAGCTATTCTTGAATGTCCTAATTACTTGACCATTTAAGCCAGTTTAAGACTATTGTTGTGTTGTAACTACAACATTTAGTGGTGTAGCCTAACCGACAGGCATTAAAACTAGTTTATAGTATATAAAAGCAAACTCAGTTTATAAATATTTTTATGGCATGATTACTGATTAAATGAAAAATTACAAGAAAATGCATAATATGCTCAGTATATTGAATGTTCAGTATGATAATGTTGCAACCTGGAAAACCAGGGCTATTCAGTGTTTTTATTCACTTTTTTCTAAACAGAGTTCTTTTATTTGACTAAATTCGAATCATTTATTCAAATGATTTTTAAAAAAAAAATCCACTTCTATTTTTTCGAAATCCACTTCCGATGGCCACATCTGAGTGAGGGCAATAATGGTCGTTATATTAAATAATGGTTCCAAACTAAAGTGAAACCTGCAGCTTTTTCAAGGATTTTGAAGTTATTGTGCATATTTAATTTGTGAAGCAGATTATAAGACCATGCAAGATGATGCAGAACTGCACCCTTCAATGATCTTGCTTTAGAAGGTAAAGACTTTTAATAGATTATGGCAAAGGGATGAGCCCTTCATAATGAAACACAGACATAAAATAACCATTAAAGTCAATAATAATACTAAACACTGAATAAAACAAGTTTTTATAATTGGTTTTAATTGGTTAAATTTAAACAATTATTTTGGAATGAGTTACTTGGTAAAGCAAAACCAGATTTTAAAAAAAAAACTTGCAAAACTGTCTCCAAAATGTAAGTTAAAATGAATTATCCTCGTGTTTTTCTAAAACGTTGTTGTATTTCACTCGTTTGTGCTTCTGTTTTGTTATTCCCATAAATTTCCATAGCCCAAGTTCATTCTTTCATTCTTTTTCTTTCCGGTTTAGTCCCTTTATTTATTCGGGGTCACCACAGAGGAATGAACCGCCAACTTATTCAGCACGCATTTTTTACGCAGTGAATGCCCTTCCAGCTGCAACCCATCTCTGGGAAACATCCATACACAGTCATACACTACTTACAATTTAGCCAACCCAATTCACCTATACCGCATGTTTTTGGACTGTGGGGGAAACTGGAGCACCCGGAGGCAACCCACGTGAACGGAGGAAAAAACCCAAGTTCAACACAAACAAAAAGGGCACAATGTCTTTTGTACTGTTATATTAAAGCAATCTTGCTTTGTTTTTAGTTGCTAACCCATAAAATGGAGGTAAAATTAGTAACAACATTATTCTTTGACAAAGATTTGACTGATATCAACAAATTCTTTTGCCAATGCAGATGGACAAAGATAAACGGAGGTGTGAAAAAGGGTCTTGTGCTCTTGGACATTCAACCACTTAACAAAAAAAATTTGGCTGAATTGCTATCATGTAAAGACTAATGTGTACTTATATGACAAAAGTCTGAAGTACGAGTTTATCCCAGTCCAAAGATATAAATCCACAGTGTTCAGCATTGTTATGCTTCCATGTTTTGATGTCAGTCCTCCACTACTCTTTACCAGTTTTGGGAGTAACACATTACAAGTAAAACAAGTTCATCCATTTGTTTTCTTTTCGGCTTTATTAATCTGGAGTTGCCACAGTGGAATGAACTGCCAACTTATCCAGCCCTTCCAGCTGCAATCCCACACTGGAAAACATCCATACACACTCATTCAAACACATGCACTATAGACAACTCAGCTTACCCAATTCACCTATACCACATGTCTTTGGACTTGTGGGAAAATCCAAAGCACCTGGGGAGAACATACAAACTCCACACAGAAATCCTAACTGACCCAGCCGAGACTCAAACCAGCGACCTTCTTGCTGTGAGGCGATCATGCTACTCACTGCGCCACCAAGACACCCCTAATGCAAGTTATCTAATAATATTACTTTTCTAAGTAACAAGTAAAGTAATGCACTACTTTAAAAAATAAGCAATAATATTGATAATATAATATAATAAATGGCGACTCAGTAGGTAGTGCCTCACAGCAAGAAGGTCGCTGGTTTGAGCCTCGGCTGGGTCAGTTGGCGTTTTTTGTGTGGAGTTTACATGTTCTCCCTGCGTTCACGTAGGTTTCCTCCGGGTGCTCCATTTTCCCCCACAGTCCAAAGACATGCGGCAAGTGAATTGGGTAGGCTAAATTGTCCGTAGTGTATGATTGTGAATGAGTGTGTGTGGATGTTTCCCTGAGATGGGTTGCGGCTGGAAGAGCATCCGCTGCGTAAAAAACGCAGTGTTTGTGTTGGGAAGTGAAGATTTCTTTAACTCAAGTACACTGAAAAAAAAAAGGTTCGTTGTAAATTTTTGCAAACAAGTCATATAGCTGGGTGACACGGTAGCTCAGTGTTTAGCACTTTCACCTCACAGCAAGAAGTTCGCTGGTTCAAGTCCCAGCAGAGCCAGTTGGCATTTCTGTGTGGAGTTTGCATGTTTTCCCCGTGTTCGCGTGGGTTTCCTCTGGGTTCTCCGGTTTGCCCCATAATCCAAACACATGCGGTATACATACTGTAGGTGAATTGAGTAAATTAAATTGGTCGTAGTGTATGTGTGTGAATGAGTGTGTATAGATGTTTCCCAATACTGCGTTGCAGCTGGAAGGGCATCAGCTGTGTAAAACATGTGCATTATAAGTTGGCAATTCATTTCACTGTGGCGACCCCTAATGAATGAAGAGACTAAGCCAAAGAAGAATTAATGAATTTACATAGCCTAAGCTGAGTTTAAACCAACTAATTAAGATGAACATTACTAAATTGAATTTGCTTGTTAGCCCATATAAATTGTTTACAACCACATACTTACTCCTATGGCAGTTTATATGGAAGTTAATATTTAGCCACACCTTGTTGGTATTTAAACATCCCATTTTAACGAGGTGGGTCATTAACCCAATGCTCAACCCCCAACCTGAAGGACCAGGACATACACACATACACCATGGACAATTTAACTTGCTCATTTCACCCATAGCACATATCTTTGAACTTGTGGGGGAAACCGGTGCACCCATAAGAAATCCACACGAACACAGAGAGAACATGGAAACTCCACACAGAAACGCCATCTGACCTAGCCGGGGCTCGAACCAGCAACCTTCTTGCTGTGAGGCGATAGTGCTACCCACTGTGCCACCATGCTGCCTGTTTCCAACTACTTACCTTAAAAATTGTGTAAATCTAATGAATAAATATTCAAGATATTCTGATTCAGAATTGTGTTAAACAGTTTTAGACTGTGTAGATTGTAGATTTCTAACTGACTTTGAATTGATGTAAATAAATGTGGAGCTATAATATTAACATTTGAGACATTTGGCACAAAAACAGATACAGACTTTAAAAAAATTGTTACAACACTCCCTGGTTTAATAATACTCATCTATTTGTTAATTTGGAGCATCTTTATTGGACTAAGCTGCGTTTTTGGGGTCACGGGATTATTCACTTGCTTATCTTATGTTTTCTTTTCTACTCGCGCCAGCTGTGAAAACTAAAAGCAGATGTTTTGATTAAGCCTGCTCGGATGTGCCAGGAAAAGGATAAAAGAAACGCCGCGTTACGTCACAGATGATGTCACGCTTCAGGTGACGGATGGGGCGGAACCCCGCGCACCTTCAAAGCCCGAACACTTCCTGATGCGGCACCTCAGCCGTATAAAAACCCGCAGCAGTGCTTCTCAGCGGGGAGAGAAAGAGAGAGAGAACGAGTGCTCGAGTTCACGGAGAATCAAAGCACATGCACTGCTGGGCAGTCTCGGGCTAACAAGGAAACTTATTTAGGCTATATCCACAGGCAACTCTAGCATCTCTGAGAAGGTAGGGATAACTGTGTGCTTTAGCAAACCTTTATTTCATTAATTTGGCTTTTGGTTTATAGTTGTGCAGAGTGTAGGCGGATGTGCGCATGCTCAGTATTGGGTAGTATCTGGAAATTATTGTGGAGTTATATTTATCTGAAGGAAAAGCATTTTTATTTCTTTTAATGTTATTGAATTAATAAAATGTATTATTGTAAAATTTATAATTCTAATCAGCTTTAAAGTATTTTAAGTCATCCTTTTATGCATTTAGATATTTTTTGTTTATAACTGTTATATTGTTGTTTTTTTATTTATTTACTATATTATTGTTATTTGTGTGTGTATTTTGTTTTGTTGGTTAATTATTATTATTATTATTAATATTACTATTATTATTATTATTATTATTATTGTTATTATTATTATCATTATTATTACTACTTTAAATGTATTTTCAAAATTATACAGTTTGAATGGTGACTTTTGCTGACATGTTAGTCACATTTTAACTTCAGAAATGAGGATAATCTTATTTGCTGATCTGCTGTGATTTTATCTATTAGTAGTGTTCTGCTTACTGATTGTTTTTTCATCATGTGTCATTTTTAATGTACTTTCCCATGGTTTCCACAAAAAGCAGCTCATATTTTTTGACTTTGATAATAAAAAGTAACATAAATGTAAAATAATAACTTTTTGAGTAGCATACTCTTTAACTACCTGCTTGACAAAATGGTTTACTATATTTTGACTGTTAAAGTCATTTAAAGAATGAACGTTTTAAATAATGGTTTACACTAAACAGCATTGTTGGTTTACAAAAAAAAAAAAAAAAAAAAAAAACGAACACTATCTTGTTGCACGACTTCATTTGATTTTGGTTTTATTGTAAAAAGCAAACAAGAAAATGTGTTAAATGAGAATCTAGAATATTTCATGCCACCTTTAAAAAACAAAGGTGATTTAGTATTCAAAAAATGTTTTATTTTTTAAATATTTTTTAAAGTAAATTGGTCTTGCACTAGATTTTTCACAGTATGTATTAATTCAGGTACTTTTACCATAAACGACATATCAACCATTTGGTAGAGGTTGACATTTTAAAAGATGTGGAATGTAAAAAAATCTATTGACTTTGTTAACTAGTGACATTAGGAGTTAAGAAATGCAATTTTATTTTTTACTTGGTAGGGCAGTTAAAGGGTTAACAAGATTTCTGAAAGCTACTGTGAGACTGAAGACACAAGATGGCTTTTAATCTACAGGAAAAATTTTAATGAAAACATAAATATTTACATAGAAAATACCAATAATAAGTTGGAAATATATTTACAATATTACTTTATTTAATTTATTTTTAATTAAACAAATGCAGTATTGATGAGCATAACTTCCCAAATGCTTCATGTTTCCAAATTTTTGCATGACACTTGTGGCAATCAGAGTTTTACTTTCTGACTTGTATTAAAGTAACATGCATGTGGTGCAAAAGTTGCAATCTACATTAATTAAAGTTCATTGCACTTTTACAAGCAATGTGAAATTAAATTTATAATGGAAGAAAATTGATTTTGGATTACTCAAGAGGAACAGACAAATTGGCAGCAAAGATGTGTTCATTATGAAAATGTTTTCAAGTGTGGCTATGTGGTACAGTGAGGCTCAAGTCAAGTGACAAGAATGGGATTTATTGCATTCTTTAATAAATGGGAGTCATTTCTGTTTCGCAGGCAGATTCTGCAAAAGGAATAGAAACCTCTCACCACATCTCAGCCATCAATCATGAATGAAAACCGCTTGGCTATTGACATTCTGCTCTTGTGTATATCCTGTGGAGCAAGTGCACTGGCAGGCTTCAGTCCCACTGCCTCCTCATCTCTGCCAGCAACCAATTTGACTGATATTGGCTTTGCGCCCCCAAAATATCTCACAGAGGCCGCAAACATTCCCAAAACCAGACGGAAACGTTATATTTCACAGAACGATATGCTTGCTATCCTTGATTACCATAATAAAGTTAGAGGGAAAGTTTTCCCCCCAGCCTCAAACATGGAATATATGGTAAGTCACTTCAGTTACTTTTTTTCCTTAACTAATTAGCCTATCACACAATCAGGAAGCTTTTAAAACATTCTGCACGTTTGAACTTTTGCTCTACACCCTCGCTGCAGTTCACCGGGTTCACTTGTTTTATTTATTTAATTGTATAATTACTTGGCACTTTGCCTGGAAAGCGCATTTTGCTGCTGTTTTAGTTGGACACGTGAGCGTTGCACATGTAACTGCACTCATCACAGGATGCAGGAATGACAAGCTTCTCCGTGTCCATTTGGCACCAGCAGCTGTTGAGCAGATTTAATTGGCTCGGACCACCAGAGTAGATCCTCTCCAGTATAGATCATTGTGCTAAAACTGCAGCTCTGAAATGCATCCAAATGTGCACAGTCAGGAGAAATACAGTATCAGATAAGTTTCATTAGACTCAAATGCTACATTTTTGTACTTAGTTTCTGATTTTTCCATGCTTGCCATGTCTACAGTGGCACATATTTTTATTTTTTCTGTGCATATCCATGATTTATGACTTGACTCACTTGGGAATCAGACAAAAATATTTGTTAAAGGAGAAAGTCCACCCAAAATTAAAAAGCATAACATTTACTCACTATCTGGTTACAAAGTTTTTTTTTTTTTTTTGTGCCTTCTGTTTAATGGAATAGACTCATTTTACAAGCCAGCTAGAGCTTTTAGCTTAACATAAATCATTGAATCAGATTAGACCATTAGAATCTTGCTCAAAAAAGTAGTTTTGATTAAGATTAGAAATGTATTTTAATGGGAAAGTGTTTTTGTTTTTTAAAGCAAGATGCTAATGGTGTAATCTTATTCAATGATTTATGCTAGGCTAAAGCTTCTCCCTCTGGTTATTGGCTGAATGGATTAAAAATTATAAGACTAGGGGACTTGTAAAATGAGACTACTTCCAAAAACATGGGAAAAATGCTAGAAACTGGTTGCCACTGACTTCCGTAGTAGATTCCAAGAAAACACTATTGAAGTCAATGGGTTTTAAACATTCTTGGATTCTGGAGGGTAAATGATAACATTTAGATGAACTGTCACTGTATTTCTGAGGCAATTCTACTTCCAATGGAATTCATTGTTATAATGCAGTTGTAAAAAAGTATGTTTATAGACTGATGAAGATGTAATTGATGCCTCAGGTCTGGGATGATACTCTTGCAAAGACGGCTGAGCAGTGGGCATCCACTTGTATTTGGGAACATGGTCCTCGCAATCTTCTTAGATTTCTGGGTCAGAACCTTTCAGTCCGAACAGGAAGGTATCCATCCTCACCCTTGTTCTCATTTTTGATCCGTGATGATTCTTCTAGTTGTGTTGTAATGTTGTAAGAACATTTGAACCTGAAAGACTGAGTGTTATATTACACCTTAATAAGAATTAATGCTATTTTGGGATTATTTACAGGTATAGATCCATTTTGCAGCTTGTAAAGCCCTGGCATGATGAAGTGAAGGACTATTCGTTTCCATATCCTCGAGACTGCAATCCCAGATGTCCCCTTAAGTGCTATGGGCCAATGTGCACTCATTACACACAAGTGAGTTGATTTTAGATTAGTAAAAAACTAAACTTTTTTTTTTTTTTTTTTTAAATAGTACGGAAAAATTATAATGATTGAAGGTTACTGACTTAACATATTTCTGACAATAAATGCTGTCATTAAATTAAATTACATGTTTTTTTGGACATTGATAAAAATAATTCTTACTTGAGCTCTAAATTCGCATGTAAAGGTACACTAACAACATAATAACAGTGTTCTAAAATGGAAAGGTTTATTTTCTTTTGTTTCTGAAAAAACTCTATGATTACACCATCATCAACACAATTCTCATTCACATGGATCTTCAAAAATGATTATAAACACTGTATTATGCATCCTTTGTAGTTAGCAATGCCACTTTGTAAAGAAACACTACAGTCACCTATGTCAGTTTTTATAAAACCACATATTTGAGAGCGAAACAATTTTCAAACAGGACTTTAAAGCCAGTTTTTAAAAGTTATCACGTAAATGAACTGATTTTACGGAAATAAAATGATTGATGAAATCTTAAAGTTTCCATTGCTAGTTGAAAATGGTGCACTCAAGATGGTTTCTGAACACTGTGCTAAATTAAACCACTTAAAGTGGTATGTTAAACCTATTAAGTACCTGTAATTGTTCTCCGGCGGTTCTTTTGGGTGGTATATAGCACTATATGTGCTATGTATCACTAAATGTGGCTCTTTGGCTTTTAATCATAGAAGAACTACTTTAAATGCTATATCTCACCTAAACCACACCAAAGAACCGCTGTAGAACCGTTACATGTTCTTTATAGGTTCCATATAGCACTTTAATCAGTTCTCCTATGATTTACAACCCCCCACCCCAAAAAAAAACAAAAAACTTTTTTTAGACACTGCAAATTAGAGTAATGAATCTTTACAACATAGTAAGACTATTTCACTAGCATATTATACATTCAGCCTTTTTAGACTTCTTTCAAAAACATCTAGCCAGCCCCAAGGTTTCGAATGCTGGTGTATATTATTTCTTACTAGCTGTTTATGTTTTTACCAGATGGTGTGGGCAACGTCAAATAAAGTAGGATGTGCGATTAATACTTGCCATAATATGAATGTTTGGGGCTCCGTATGGAAGAGGGCAACATACCTGGTGTGCAACTATTCTCCAAAGTAAGTATTACTTTAAGTTTTTTTTTCAGCTAAACTCCACAGTGAACCTCTTCAGTCACGTAATTACAGTAGGCTAAGCTAGCAATCTGACACTGCTCTGTTAAAAACATTTTGACGTGGACATCCACAGGTCCTTCTGGTTCAAAGACCTGGACGACCTTTTGCATTCCTGCTCCATGTGGAATTTTAGCAGGATTCTGCCTCTAATTCCAGAATCAAAGAACCATAATCTTTGTGTGGCTGGTGACTTGTGACTGACTTCTGACCTCCTTTTTTACTCTTGTAAGGCAGTGCACTTGAGAAAAGTCTTAGGTTCCTGTAGTAGAGCATGTTATTTTTGAACTGTAGTAAAGGCTCGACTTGCTAGCTGAGAACTAGTTAAAGCAGTGATTTAAAGCATGAAAGATGAGAAGTAATGCCTCAGGTCAAGGGTCAGTACAGTTTAAAATATCTTTAGGACTGTCACAATAATTACTAAATCATTTTAGCATGCGGTATATGGACTTGACCTTGGTAATATTTGCTAATGCAATAGATTGTTTACTGAGTTTGCATATAAATGTTTGTAACCAGCATTTTAGGCAAATGAGCTGCCCTTGTCATCTAGTCTATTCTCTGTGAGTTCAGACACATTTACTGAAAGCTCAGATGACCACACAAAATAGTAAAACACCTAATTGGCAAAACTCACTATAACCAGCATTTAACCCCTTTTTGGTGCTTTTTAGTGAGGTTCATCATCATCAAAGCAGACGATCTGAGTTATGATTAGCGCCATCATTGTTCGTCATAAGAAGAAGCAGTACCTGCTTTATTCCGGTTGTCATTCGGGGATCACCTATTAGGCTACTGTGTATATAATATAATTATATTGTGTAATTCTATAATTTGCACGTATGATGAAGCCACTGACAATATCCAAGAATATGAAATCTCTTTAAATACCCCCTCATATGTCTGCACGATTCTGGTTAAAATGACAATCACGTTTTTTTTTTTTTTTGCTTAAAATCAAGATCAAATCAAATCACTTTTATTGTCACATCAGCAGCAGCACGTGTGCTATGATGAGTGAAAAGCTTAGACAAACATTTATATGATCACAATTTTCTCACGATTCTGTGGATGTAAAATAAAGGTTAATATGAGTGGGCTATTATTATTGTTGTTTTTCAAACATATGGTAAAACGGCAATAATGATATTAGGCCTATGTGTAGGTCTACTGTTGGTTAAAATGCTAAATTGTGTATAGACTTTGAATGGTGGACTTAAACAAATAAACTTTAAAATGTTCTGGTGGTTAATTGACAGTAAAGTGATGGAATTAGAATAAAACTAATTATTATCATTCTAAAGATTAATTATTATGTTTGAGACTTATACTTGTCATTTGTCATTGACAACTTTATTAGACCATTTATTCACTGGTAAAAAGAGACATTTGTCATTATTAGATTCCCAACTGCATTATATTCAACGTTAAATAGGCTTTAATAGTTATACTGATACTGTAAACATTTATTCTCACACACAACACTGTTTACTATCAAAGAAAAAAACATATCAAATGCTTGTCGTAATCATAACTTTTAAAATGCGATATGATCATTTAAATGATGTTCAAAGTGCGTTCAGCTCACATATAATTTCGCGGCCACAAGATCATTACATTAGGATAGAAATTACATTTTTGGGTGAATTATACCTTAAAAATACAGTATGTGACACTTTTAACGCCATTTGGAGGTGTCCATGTTGCTGTGAAGATTTGTGTGTGTGCACCCTTACACTTCTTTCCTCACCTCGAAAATATAATTGGCTGAATTGTAGAAAAACAGAATTAGGATTGTGTGTAGGGTCGAATCGAGATCCCAATCTTTTTTTCGATTAATCGTGCAGTCCTACCCCCTCGGCTGTGCACTTTTTTGCTTTCACATTTGCTTGTCACAACCACGGTGCATTATAAATAAAACCAAGATGCACGTTTGTTATTATTCTCTGCAAGTCATCTGTCCTTATGTATAAAAAATATTTTTAAAAATATATTTATAAAAATATATATTTTATAATTAATTAAAGCCATTAAAATGCAGGGACAAAGCGAAGGAAAGGGAAAATGAAAGTGATAAACTAGTAGTTTATCATGTAAGAATAAAGAGTCTACTAAATTACAGTAAAATTATACTCATTGGACACAAGAGAACTAACCAAGTTAGTAGCGCTGTGTGGATTTTCGGACATTGAGGTACAGTTATAAACCTATTAAACTGATAAAAATTCAAACTGATAAAATAGATAGGTAGATAGATAGATAGATAGATAGATAGATAGATAGATAGATAGATAGATAGATAGATAGATAGATAGATAGATAGATAGATAGATAGATAGATAGATAGATAGATAGATAGATAGATAGATAGATAGATAGATAGATAGATAGATAGATAGATAGATAGATAGATAGATAGATTAAAAGATAGATAGATTGTCATCTTTTTTTGTCCTTGGCTAATTTGTGTGTAGATAGCTGCAGTGGTGCAGTGGAAAAATAATATACGTATGTGTTTTTTTTTTTTTTTTTTACTTTTATTTCAAATGTTTTAGTCCTATAATGTTCTAAATGTTTATATATATATATATATATATATATATATTTTTTTTTTTTTTTTTTAAACATAGACTAAGTAATAACACAAGAACTATCCTTTTCCACATTAAAAGATGTATATTTGGAATATCATACTAATATTATCATTATGTAAGCCGAGGCATGCCCTAAATTGACAGTCATATTGCTGATGTCTGTGGCCAAAACATCTTGCACACCATGACAGGCCAATATATCCTCTACAGCATGTTTCCAGCAGGAACTAATCTTTAAATATGTATGCTTGGTATATTAGAGGGTTTCGCACAGGAGGAATTTTTACATAGTTTCTGGAACTGTTTCCCCACCATAATAACTATAGGTACAATTTTAGTTACAGGAACTTGTTTGTGGGGAACAAAATTAGCTCCTAGTTCAGAGTACAGTTTAACCCTGCACAACCCAGGAACATGGTTAAGAACAATTTTTAGTAGGCACTGATTTATACATGTGTATCTGTGGTACTGAAGAAGCTTTTGCACAGGAGGCACTTTTTAATAGTTTCTAGAGTGCTTGCTTTTTTGTGTGTGTGTGTGTGTGTGTGTTTGTTCACACCATAAAAACTGGGAACAAGTTTGGTATTAAGAACTCATTTTGGGGAAACTCAAAAGTTGTCATAGGTGATTTGGTTCTTTTTATCGCTTTATCAATCACATAACTTGTATGTCTACCTTTCCTTCTTTGTTATCATGACACAATGAAAACTACTTCGATCACCATGTCCTTCATCTCTAAATCATTTATTTTGTTAATTGTAATGACAGTCCAGCCAACATAAACGTTAACAGCTACAGAGTTCCTATAATAATATTGCAAATAAAACCAAGTCAAGGAAAAGTTCATGGGGACCAGCCTGGTTACAAGTATGTTCAAAAACATTATTCCTGTGTCAATAACTGTGCTGTTGCTGTTTTTGTTTACAGGGGGAACTGGATTGGTGAAGCCCCATATAAAGTAGGTGTTCCTTGTTCCATGTGTCCTCCAAGCTATGGAGGATCGTGCAGTAACAACATGTGCTTTCCTGCTGTGAACTCAAATTACCTGCACTGGTTCAAATAAACACAGACAGAATGCACATGCCCCATCACAGAGACACTGTCCCCAGTGGGAATTTGCACAACATTCCTGCATCACCCTGTTTTTTATGTATATGGGCCATATAGGGCCTAGGGTTTTGCAAGGCTGCTTTTTTTAATGATCTGTACATAACTTATTTTTTTATTGTTTATACCATGTATTATTGATAAATATATTGTTTTGTGTATGGACCCATTTAATGGAAATTGTTTTAATTTCCTAAGAGGGACTTTACTGTGATCTGTCAAGACATGGTTGGTACTTGTAGTGTTCAGCTGTAAATGTACTCGGTCTACTTGTTAGCAAGTCTAACATTGCAAGTTTTCTGTAGTGCCAAGCTAGCCTTTAGTCACGGTCACACTAATTTGGAGAATGCAAAATTACAGTATTGTATCATCACGCATCGTAACTTTTTTTTTTTTTTTTTTAATAATTTAACATTCACCCAAAATATATGCTGCATTTTTCCTCTAAGCAATGCTCTAATTCTACACATTTAAAGTTGCCATTTATTCAATTATGCGTTTTAAGTGTTATTATGCGTTAATTAAGTGCCCATCCAGAATCCCTAATGGTCACATCTTCACATTATGTAATTTTGGAAATCCAAGTTCATCTTGAACTTTTGACCATTGCAAAATTCAGTAAGCTTGCTTAGGCTGCTAGTCTTCTGCATTCACATTTATTTTTATGTACATATATGCATGAATGGAAGTCTGTTGATTGCACCCATCCTTTTCATTGCTATTGTCATTGAGCTGACTGGGTTTTTTCATCAGTGGAAGACAAACCTCATTCAGATTACATGATCTAGATAAAAAAAACTGTGGCTACTGAGCATAAACATCAATGTAGCATAATTTTTGTAACACTGTACAACAATAACTGCTATTTTTTTATATTACTGTGAGGGGCAGGTATAGGGTTATGTAGGTGTAAATGTAAATAAAACTAATTTTATTGGTTAATCGCTATAGCCCTCTTAACAACAACCTACTGTCACTGGGCACTTTATTAGGAACACGTTACTAGCACTGGGTTGCCCCCCCCCCCCCCCCCCCCACCCTTTGCTTTCGGAACTGTTTAGGCTGTGGAGTTGAGATGATACTCAGTTGGTGCTAATAGGCCCTAAGTTAGCTAGGCAAAATATCCCCCACACCATTACACCACCACCACCAGCCTGAATCATTGATAAAAGGCAGGATGGATACATGCTTTCTTGTTGTTGACACTAAATTCTAACCCTACCATCTGTATGACGCTGCAGAAATCGAGAGACCAGACCAGGCAACATTTTTTCAATCTTCTATTGTCCAATTTTGGTGAGCCTTGGCAAATTGTAGCCTCAGTTTCCTGTTCTTAGCTGACAAGAGCGGCACCTGGTGTGGTCTTCTGCTGCTGTAGTCTATCTGCCTCGTGTTGTGCGTTCTGAGATGCTCTTCTGCATACCTTTTTGCATTGTTACTGTTGCCTTTCTAACCAGTCTGGCCATTCTCCTCTGACCACTGGTATTAACAAAGCATTTGTTCCCACAGAACTGCCACTCTCTAGATATTTTCTCCTTTTCGGACCATTCTCTGTAAACCCTAGAGATGGTTGTGCATGAAAATCCGAGTAGATCAACAGTTTCTGAAATACTCTGACCAGCCCGTTTGGCACGAACAATTCCCATTCTGATGCTCCATTTAAACTGCAGCAGGTTGTCTTGACCATGTCTACATGCCTAAATGCATTGAGTTGCTGCCATGTGATTGGCTGATTAGAAATTTGCGTTAACGAGCAGTTGGACAGGTGTACCTAATAAAGGTGCCTGCGAGTGTAGATTTTGTTGTTGTTGTAAAGCATTACAAACATGGAATTAGTTACACTCTAAACAAGAAGAAATTAATGAATTTTGCATCTCTATGCTCATATGTCATTTACGAATGCCCACAACACCCTATGTCAAGTTAATGTGCATAATATGAATGGAGCTTAAGATTGTTTTTTTAGCTGCTATCATTCAGAGACATTATTAATTGCTTCCTTTGTCATCATTTACTAATCATCATGTTCTGCAGAATACAGAGGAAGATATTTTGAAGAGTTCTGGTCCCCATTGGGTTCCATTACCTGTTTAGTTGTCAATGTGCATGTTAATATGCACCAAAATGATAACTCAAAAAAAAAAAAAAGCATTGAAATAACCACCCAATGCAAGTAAGTGGTGTACAAGATTTTATGAATAAATTAGTTTATTACCCAGTAGTAAAACTTAGTCCAAAACTTAATTACTAGCATGTATTATTCATTCATTCATTTCCTTTGGCTTAGTCTCTATTTCAGAAGTCGCCAAAGTGGAATGAACCGCCCACTATTCAAGCATATGTTTTACACAGTGCATGCTCTTTCAGCCACAATCCAGTACTGGGAAACACCATTCTCACTCATTCAAGCACACTATGGCCAATTTAGTTTATTCGATTCACCTATCCGCTTGTTAAGCCGTGATGTATCAGTGACGTATAGAATAATGTTTCTGGATCCAAGCCGCTACTCATTTGAATTGAGAAAATATTTGTTTATGGCCATTTTTTTTGGCCTATCACACAATAAAGTGAATTTTATATAAAATTAAAGTGTACATAAGTCTCTGGACTTCATACATCATGGACTTTTTGCATCACAAATACCAAAATTTTAACAATTTATAAAAAAAAAGATAATCAATACTGGCCATCGGATATTAGGCATGGATATATATATTGCGATCAAGATTTTCGAAAGTATTACAGTGCTTTGTAAATGTTTATTATTACCATTTGATGAGTCTCCCTATACAATTTGATAAAGCAATTGGACCCGGAAGCCGTTTCGCGTGATGTCACACTTAACAAGCGGATAGTGCATGTCTTTGGATTGAGGGGGGGAAACCGGAGCATCCGAAGGAAACCCTCATAAACACTGGAAGAACATGCAAACACACAGTAATGCCAACTGGCCCAGCCGAAACTCAAACCAGCGACCTTCTTGCTGTGAGGCAATAGTGCCAACCACAGAGCCACTGTGTCACCCCTAGCATAATTTAATCATATATTTTTTTAAATTGTCTTCGTTGTATTAGTCATTAAGAACCAACACTAAAGCGATTTATGACCATAATCCGATAAAGAAAAATGGGTTAACACGTTTACATGACCATGTACAGTGTAGGTTTGCATAATCTGGTTAAGAGCATGCATGTAACTGCACATATTTTAATAATAATGTAAATTATAACAGACTTGAAATATTAGAGTTAACTATCCCTTTGAATTAGTGTGATCAAATGACTTTAGGTAAAGCAGTTTTGTGTGATGTCAACATTAACCCTGCATGCTGACTTGTGGTGCTTCATATAAGAAGTTAAGCTAGCTCTTATTGAACTGTATGACACTCAACAGTACTTGACTGGTTTGAAAACACTCACTGGCATTTTTATTAGTGCTCTGTTTTTGGGTCTTCCCTTTTTGGAAGCCTTCCACATGAGTTAAGCCTACAAACGTGTGCCGGGGGCTTAAACATTGTGGAATGTTGATCAGGCGTCTTTTAAATAACCTCTGCATTTTGCAACCCCAGAAAGAGCATTTATTGCGGTGGCTAATCATGCTGTACCCTCATGAAGTCTTGAGGAGGATTAACATGGAAACATGTTTGATGTGTAAGTGCACCTTAAAATGTGTGTTTATATGTACTTTTAGTTTGAAGGCTGTCATTTAATGGTGTTTTCTTTCTCCTTGTTTTGGTTTAATCATTTGTACATGCGTTTATTACGAATTCAGCACCAGCAAAACATCTTTAATAATACATAAACAATAGTGGCACACTATTGCATTGTATTGCATTGTGTGGATTTCACTCGTTTCCCACAAGCACTTAGGAAATCTACCAGGCACTACTCTGCAGTAATCTGGAAAGAGAGGTGAGGTTATAAAGCGCAGTTTGTAATTTTCACTGTAAATTCAACATGATATCGTGCATAGAAATTGTATTTTCTGTTAGTCAGTCATGTACAATTGATTTTGTTTTAAAGTAATATGTCATTGACTGCATTTTTCATTGTGTTAATGTCTTTGTAGATATCTTTTTATTTTCAAACATGCTTAACAAGTTATGGTGCTGGATTCAATAATGTCAATTTGTGTATTTTTTTGCCCATTGTTATGACTCCATATATCTAATTTGTAACTGTATTTCAGTAACATTTTATTTATCATCTAAAATGAGCTGTACATTGCTTTTTTTATACAAATCTCCTTTCTATGAAATACGTTTTATTTAAATGTATTATTTTGAGCCTAATTGCAAAGCAGAAATTAACTTTCAACAGTTTGAGGTCAGAAAGATTATAAGAAATCGATACTTTGATATCACTTTTTTTGATGATCCCTTTACCACAATTTGTTGAATTTAAGTTGCATTTCATTCTTATATTCTCATTAGATTATAAGTAGACTGTTAGGTTAGGGTTAGTGTAAGTTGACATGTGCTTACAAGTTTCTTATAGTCAGTTAAATGTCTGTTGAAGGAGCAGTATCAACAGATATTAAGCAGACAGTCTACCAATACTTAAATGAGAAGTTCAAGAGTTCACACTTAGCTGATGATTGGCTATAAAGCTTGTTTGGCATGCTGTCCCTGGAGTGAGCCCTGACCTCAAAAGATCCTTAAACCCAGGGCTCCCTCCTGTTGCAAGGCGAGAAGGGAGTTTGAGCTCAGGTAGAACTCGAGAACTCCCCTGCTAGTAGCTAATGGACTGATAGTGATTGCTCTTAAGAGATAGCTACTTAGTAATTGCAGGTCCATTGTGCTGATATGGATTAGTCAATTAACTTAAGTTGCATGTTTTTGGACTGTGGGAGAAAACTGGGGGACCTGGGGGAAACCCACGTGAGCATGGGGAAATTGGATTAGAATGTCTTTATTTTCCCCGAAGGGCAATTAGGTTTACAGCAATAGCCGACAGTTGACAGCAACGAGTCACACTGAACAACATAAAAATAACAATAAACATTAAAATTACTCATGAAAAGGAAAAAAAAAAAAAAAACGTAAAGCTTGTTTAGTAACCCAACTGCAGTTGGAACAAATGAATACAGATATATGTTGGACTTTACCCATCTACAATAACTATACCTTCTGCCTGATGGTAGGAGGCAAAACTATAAATAAAGTG